CCTTCTCTCCTCTGTCCACCCCTTTCCTCTGGAAGCTGCTGTCAGCACTCACCTTTGCTCAGCGCTGGGGATGGAAGGAGCCACTGGTGCTCCCAGGCCCACCCTGCCTGGCCTGCACCCCAGGGCACTGCCAGCTGGGTGACTCCACCGTGAGCCAGGCCACCACAGAGGTGCAAGTCCCTGGGTGCTTCCAGCAGGGCCTGCGTCCACACAGAGTGGAGAGCCTGTGCTCTCCGTCATTCTCTTGTCCAACACCAGGAGTCGCTGCCTGGGGGAGACCCCGGAGCTGGCGGCCCCTGAGGCTCATCCAGGCCAGCACCCAGAATGGGGTCCCAGGTCACCGTGTCTTCTGCTCATCCCGCTCTGACACTCACATGTGTTCTCTGAGGCCCAAGAGCTGCGGGCCAGGTTGGCTTGGCCCCTGGAGGCCATTGACTGACCCAGGTGACATGTGCCCTGGCTGGAGTCCCACTGCTCCTGGGAGTGTGCTCCCCAGCTCTGGCAGGCTCTGCCCCCACAGCTGTTTGGAAACTGCCCTGGCGTCCCTGGAGGAGACATGGAGGGTGGCACAGAGGTCTCCTTCTGGGCATGCCCGGTCCTGATGGGTGGGGAGTGGAGCCCATCTGTGGTGCTCCCAGGAGGCTGCCTTTCCCTGGAGGCCAGTGGTCCTGTGCCCGGTGCTGGCAGAGCACGGCCTGGCAGCAGAGTCCTGGGGAGGCCACTTGACCACTCTCATCGCCACTTGACCACTCTGATCGCCACTTGACCGCTCTCATCGCGGCTCTGGAGGAAGTTGGTGCAGGAACATCCTTCAAGGGCACTTAAAGCCACGTGCTGAGCATGTCATATGTGACATCATGCAGACCCCCCAGCAGACCCGTGGGCCAGGAGCCACCAGGGGTCTCAACAGACCCGTGGGCCAGGAGCTGCTGTCCACCCTGAGGGCGGGAGGCCATGTTCTGGAGGTGGACAGCTCTGCAGCCACCAGGAGTCTCAACAGACCTATGGACCAGGAGCTGCTGTCCACCCTGGGGGCGGGAGGCCATGTTCTGGAGGTGGACAGCTCTGCAGCCACCAGGAGTCTCAACAGACCTGTGGAC